AGTCATGCATTCATTCTTTCACCCTTTTGCTCAAGGAGCAAGCATTTGTTCAATTGCCATCGTCACTGCTGACGGAAGTCATGACAGACAAAAAGAAAATTTCAGAGAGAAAGTCCCTAATGGGCTGAAGGGTGTCGCTTGAGTTTTCCTGCCTGGCCCACAGTCAGGGCAAATCTCTCTCACCTGCCAGTCCCACAGCCACTCAGACCCGACCAAGTAAACACAGAGACTTATATTGGTTACAAACTGTATGGCCGTGGCAGGCTTCTTGCTAACTGTTCTTACAGCTTAAATTAATCCATTTCTATAAATCTATACCTTGCCACGTGGCTCATGGCTTACCGGCATCTTCACATGCTGTTTGTCATCATGGTGGCTGGCAGTGTGTCTCTGACTCAGCCTTCCACTTCCCAGCTTTATTCTCCTCCTTGTCCCGCCTATACTTCCTCCCTAGCCAATGGTCAATCAGTGTTTTATTTATTGACCAATCAACAACATATTTGCCATACAGAACATCACACAGCAGAAGGACTTTTCCAAGACACCATTCTGATAGCACAAGACTGTGCTGGAGGACATCGGTGCATCCTCAGAGAGTGTTACATTTCTCTGTCTCCTCTAGAACACTGTTTCATGCCAACACAAGGTCTACACCATAAGCCATCTCCCTCCTCCTCGCTTGCCGTCAGCACCCACAGATCTCCTTGTGTCTCTGGATCCCCCTGTCCTGGAGACCACGCTGTGTAGTTTGTGTCTGGGTTGCTCTCTGAGCACTGTGTCCTCAAGGTCCCCCCTCACTTCTTCAGGGCTGAGTGATGTCCCCAGTGTAGACAGATGGACATTGTGTGTCCATCCATCCACAGGAAGACCCGTGGCATGGGCTGCCCCCTTCTGGATGCTGTGAATAAGGTTGCCAAGGATTTGTAGGGATGAACATTTTTATTTTTTTAATTTTTTTTTTTTTTGGTTTTTCGAGACAGGGTTTCTCTGTGTAGTTTTGTGCCTTTCCTGGAACTTGCTTTGTACACCAGGCTTGCTTCAGACTCACAGAGATCCGCCTGCCTCTGCCTCCAGAGTGCTTGGATTAAATGCATGCACCACCACCGCCCGGCGAACATTTTTATTTCTGGGAGTGGAGTTCTCAGATCATGTGGAGACTCCATGTTTAACCCTTTGAGGGTGGTGTAGCCTTTCCCTGAACTTCATTGGTCTCTCTCTCTCTCTCTCTCTCTCTCTCTCTCTCTCTCTCTCTCTCTCTTTCTTTCCCTCTCTCTCTCTCTCTCTCTTTAGTGACAGGGTCTTGGGGTTCTTGACCCCGACTTACCTCAAACTGGCTCTGTAGACCACGAAGGCCTTGAACTCTGAGAGATCTGCCTACCTTTGGGATTAAAGCCCTCTGCGTCACCCTGGCTTTCGTCCTCTCTTAACTGTGATTGTCACTTATGTTTAATAATATACGTTTTTGGGGGGTGCAGGGGGCTTCATCAATGAGCTGACCAGTGATCAGAGACCTAAGAAGGCCAACTAACAACGCCATGCAAACACCTGGTGAAGGATGGAGCCTGGGGTGTGGGGAAGTAACAGGAGGCAAGAGAGTCTGAGGAGGGAGGCTGCGGGGACTGGCAGGACTGGGGGTCCCTCGTGGTGAATGATGGGGACTGGGAAGGGCGTGAGGGACAGACACTCACTGATCTGCTCAGCCCAAAGTCCAGGAGGCCTCTGCTGGGGTGCACCACCATGACATTTAACATGTAGGGCACCATGGAGAACAGGTGCATGTGGGGGATGATGCACCGAGTGGCCTGGGGGTTTGGCTGTAGGCAGGGCCGGCTCTGCTGCTGGGCCGCCACACCTAGCCTGCATGGGAAGTACCGTGGGGGTCACGAAGGGCACTGGGTGTTCACGTGGGCCCAGTCCACCCACAGCTGACCGTGGACCTGGACACACTCAGGGAACACCGGGGGTGTGGATTCTGAAGAACTCCTTAGGTTACCGACACCCCACACTCGTTCTGTTATTTTGGAGACAGGCCCCTGTGGGTCTCAGGCTGCCTCTGACCCTGAGTGGAGCGGGACAATGGAATTTCTTGGTTCCCCATTTCATCCTGGCCCCTCTCCATTCTCTGACCTGTAAGTGGCGATAAAGGACGTGGCCATCGTGGAGTTGGGAGCCCCCAGCGGCGTCCAGGAGCAGTCCACAGCCACGGGGTACCGAGAGGCAAGGCATCGCACCCTGGGCTGGCTCAGAGCAGCTAGGGTGGGAGAGACAGGAGCATGAGCTTCCAGGAACCTAGAGGGTCTCTGTCATGCAAGGAAGCATGAGCTCCCACACCTACTACGACCCCCCAGGGCCTCAAATGATCCATTTTCTAGATAAGAAAAGGTTTTTTTCTTCCTCTTTCTTTTTCTCTTTTAAAATGTTTTTAAGGAGGATCGCATGTAGCCTAGGCTGACCTTCAACTCACTATGTAACTGCGGATAACCTTGAACTCCTAAGCTTCCTAACTTATCCTCCTGGGGGGTGCCTGACAGATGTGCACGATCATACCCAGCATCGCCTAGCATTTCTGATCCACAGTTGAGTCACAAATGTGAAACTTGGGGATTGCTGAGAGTCAACTGTCTATCTCCACAAACCTCTAAGCTCAAAGGTACCTCTACCTGGATAAATGAAGCTTTGCCCCTCTGTGTCTCAATTTCTTCATTCCTATATCAGAATGGGAACAGGTCCCACTGGTATAGGTAGGTGTGAGATCCCACCCAACTCCAGATGTGACCTGAGACTGAAAGTAAAGGGTTAGTCCCCATGGCCCAGGTGCCCCGTCCCCAGAGTGCCCACCTACCTGTCCCTGCATTGCCAGGGGAGCAGCTCGCCCAGAGGGTGAGTGACAGGAGGATCCGCTGGGACATGCCTGTGAATCTGTTCTCTAGGGTTGAGGACAGGGGCAAAGGACTAGGAACCTCAGAGGGAGCCTGGCCCTGGTGAGGACCTGCCCAATGGGGCTCTGTCGCCCAGTGTGTGGAGCAGAAGATAGCTTCGATGGTGAAGGGATCCCCGGCTCTGTCAGCAGCTGCCTGGTGTGAGTGTGAAAGGCCTTGATGAGGGGTTAGGGGGAGGGCCCCAAAAGGGAGAAGTCACTGTGTGGCCTTACTTCCAGCTGATGGGGAATCCCCAGGGAGGTGGGTGAGGCAGAGGACAGATGTGGGAGAGGAGGGGAGCGAGCGAAAGAGAGACAGAGAAAGAGGGACAGAAAGAGACAGGGGACACTGGCCCAGAGACTGATCTAGTGCAGGGTGGTGGCCCTGTTACCACCCACATGTCCCAAAACTGTGTCAGGGCCTAGACAACAGAGAGCAACTGCTACCCCAGGTAGTCCCCAGCCTCAGGAACACTCTGAACTGTGCAGGACACCTGCTCAGAACACCCAAGGGAACCCCCGGGACAGACTGGAGTCCTGGGAAACTCCAGGTCACACCCCTCTCTTCAGCATCAAGAGAGCCTGCCACTCCCACGACGGTGTCGCCAGCGTGACAAATGCCTTGGATGAGGTGGTTACGTGGGAAAGGGGGACTCACAGCCGTGGGGCCTATGCCCCTGGCCACCCCTTATCAATCTGCCCTAATCATGGTGCCAGGCTACTCGGAACCACGCAAAATCTGCTTGCAGAGGCTGGCTGGCACTCTGCCTTTTTCTCTTTGCAGCTGTGACTATTGCTGTTTCCTTGTGTATTGATTTCAGGAAGTTAACTCTCAATGTTCCTGATGTGCCCCATAAAGAGAATAATGATTCCTCAAAAGTGGCCTCAATACCCCCACCTATAATTCAAGCTTTTAGGCAAACAGTTAAAGAGGGTCCTAGAAGTTTGTGGGAATTTATGAATGATTTAGAGCAAAAAGAACTTATGACTCAGAGGGACAAAGAGTCTAGCAAAGAAAATGAAAGTAAAAGTCCAGGAACTCATAAGCAATCCACACGCGCAGCCAACAGCAGCTGCAAGAAAGCAGTTACAGGAATTAGCCATTCCTACAAGAATTATCCAGGGACAAATAGAGTTTCTCATCAAGGGTCGGTGGTGACAACCCCCTAACTTTAATCCTAGATATAATAATTATTTGGAGCCATTGCCCTTTACGGGAGCTTAAGATAAACATGGGAACCGATGGATGAATCATAATAGTATGAAAACAGAATGGCATAAGTTACAGTTCATGGAAAGATTAGCTAGGTCCCAACCCCCCTGGTGCCTTCTCACCTGCAGGCAAAGGTTAAATATTTTCATACAAATGAAACCATGGTTAGAACGATGGTGGGAAGGGTTTAATTTTGATACAAAACAAAGGTTTAATAATTATGTAGAAGGAAAACTTCAGCTAGGGCTGTAATGTTCTCTGTCTGGATGAGACAAAAGAAGAAATAAAGCCTGTACTCATGAGAGCTGTTAATCATTCTGAGAAAATTGTGTAACCACATATTAATTCTATGTCTATTGCCCCACTGGCTGATTGCCATGTTTCCTCAAATGAATATATAAAAAACACTGCTTGATCTGAGTAAAATTGCAGCAGCTTCACAGCATACTCTCATGTCTGTGTCTGTCTGTCATTCACCAAATCTCACTTATCCTGAGTACCTTCAACCTGTTCTCCCTCGGTCTGGTGTTCCAGCTGAGATCCAGTCCACGGCAGGTGGCGCCCGAACAGGGACATGAAGGACAGGTAATTTCTATTCCCCTTTTTCTCTTTTCTTCATAAGTAGGGATCGGCTTCTGTCAGGGTTCTGCAGACCCGCCGGTAAAGGCTCACCGGTTAAGCACAGGTAATCCAGAAGGTAAGCATGGGGCAGCACCTCTCTAAGGAGGACAAATTATTTGCATCTGTGATAAGACATATGTTGGCAGAAAAGGGCTTGAAGGTAACACCAGAGGCCTTGGCAGAATTCCTTAAACTCATGAAGGAATTGTGTCCCTAGCTCACAGAGGATGGCAGCCTGACACTGACGGAATGGAGGAAGATAGGGAAGGCTATGCACAGATATGCAAAGAAAAGGGAGAAGAAAAATTGCCTGCATGTGCTTACCCCCTCTGGTTACAAATCAGAGAGATCTTATCAAGAACTTCTGACTTAGAAGGACTGGAGGAAGAAATAGCCTCCCTCAAGGGCAATAAGCTGCCTAAGCAGTATGGCACCACTAATAGCAAGAGAACTGTCATTGGGGCTGGAATAGAGGATGATGAGGATGGAGATGATTGGGACTTAGCCGAGGAAATGGCTAAGCAAGATCTGGAGGATGACTTTAGGGATCGTCAGCGATACCCTCCTATGACTGCTTTCCCTGTTAAAACAGGGCCTAGGCCTGTGCCTGCACCTAGGAAAAGACCACCCATGCCTCTGTTTGGTTTTCGGGGAGCGATGGATGAGGCACGCAGGACGGGGCATACTACCTTCACCCTGCCGGTTGCAGAGACTTTTGATGGAGAAGAGCCGCAGTGGGAACCGCTACCATTAAAAACGTTAAAAGAATTACAGGCCGTGGTTAAGTCCGTGGGCCCTTCAGCTCCATACACCATACAAGTAGTAGATATGGTTGCTAGCTTGTGGTTAACACCTTATGATTGACATCAAACTGCTAGGGCTGTATTGTCTCCTGGGGATTATATTCTCTGGAGGACTGATTACGAAGACAGATCAAAAGAAACAATAATAACTATGACTAAAAAGAAAGGCACAAAACCAACCATGGATATGTTACTAGGGACAGGTAAATATGCAACGCCTCAGTCTCAGTCTGCTTTGCCTCGTGATGTCTTGGAGGCTATTACTAGCAATGCAGTCGCTGCTTGGCGTTGCATTTCGCCTCCTGGGAAAAAGAGCATGGTGTTATTAGGGATTATACAAGGGAATAAAGAAACATATCAAGCCTTTATCTCTAGACTTGAGGAAGCAATACATAGAATGCTTCCCCCTTCAGAGGGGACGGACATGCTTCTAAAACAGTTAGCCTGGGAAAATGCCAATACCCTTTGTAAAGACTTAATTAGGCCCGTCAGGAAGACAGGCTCATTACAGGATTATATAAAAGCATGCATGGATGCCTCACCAGCCGTAGTGCAAGGAATGGCCTACGCTGCAGCAATGAAAGGACAATGATTTAGCGCCTATGTTAAGAAAATAAGTAGCGGAGGGGCTGATAGCTCCCCGACCTGTTATAAGTGTGGAAAATCGGGGCACATACAAAAGGAATGCCCGAATGCTGAGAATAGAGGAGGAAGAGCGCCTCCTGTCCTTTGCCCACGATGCAAAAAAGGGAAGCATTGGAGAAATGAATGCAAGTCAAGGTTCACTAAGGAGGGAGTTCCCCTCAAGCCCGACAGTCAGAGAAAAAACTAGCTTCGGGGCTCCCCCTTAGCCCCGAGAAAGAAAAGGGGAATGTCCAAAAGGAAGTACAGTTAACACCAGGGCTAAACCCTGCTGCGCCAGAATTCACTGTCCATAACCTGCCTAGAGCCACTCCAGAGAGTGCTGGATTAGATATATCATGTCCTCAGGACTTGCTCCTGTCCCTGTGGGTTGGGGTAACAGTCATAGATACAAAAATTACAGAAACCCTGTCACCACAAATGGTAGGATTAATTTTGGGGAGAAGCTCTAATACTGCTACCAGCTTTGAAGTACTCCCTGGAGTGCTAGATGCAGATACCTTAGGTACAATGAAAGTGATGATCAGGCCTTTAAAAGAAACCATTCGATTACACAAGGGACAGAGAATCGCACAGGTTGTTCTACTCCCCTACATAAAAATGCCTAACCCTATTATAAAAAGCCATAGGGGATCAGGACAGTTTGGCTCTTCAGACTCCGTAGAAGGAGTCAATTGGGTACAAGATTTAGGACAATGACCCTTTAAGACAATCACCCTGGATGGCAGGAGCTTCCAAGGACTCTTGGACACAGGTGCTGACAGGACCTGCATAGCAGGAAAGGATTGGCCTTCTTCTTGGCCAACACACAGAACAGGATCCTCCCTTATGGGATTAGGGATGGCTTCCGGAGTGATGCAGAGTTCAAAGCTTTTAAAATGACAAACAGACAGTAAAGAAGGGTTTATACAACCTTATGTGCTACCCTCTCTACCATTTACCCTATGGGGAAGAGACTTAATGGAGTCACTTGATGTGCATTTAGTAACAGGAAGTTCTGAGCTGGAGCAGCATTTTACATAGGGGCCACTGCAAAGGATCTCTATACAGACTCTATACAGTGGAAGTCTGATCAGCCTGTATGGGTTAGTCAGTGGCGCCTGACACACAAAAAAAAATACAGGCATTAGAATAGCTGGTATCAGAACAATTGGAAAAAGGGCATATAGAAAAATCTAATAGCCCATGGAATACTCCTGTTTTTGTCATAAAAAAGAAATCAGGAAAATGGAGACTACTACAAGATTTAAGAGCAGTAAATGCTACAATGGAGGATATGGGGGCCCTACAACCAGGACTCCCATCCCCTGTGGCAGTACTGAAGGACTGACACATTATAGTCATTGATCTACAAGACTGCTTTTTTACAATAAGATTACAGCCTCAGGATTGCCCTAGATTTGCCTTTAGCATACCCTCAGTTAATTTTAAGAGACCTTATAGACACTTTCACTGGAAAGTCTTACCCCAAGGAACAAAGAACAGTCCTTCATTATGTCAAAAATTTGTGGATATGTCCCTTTTACCAATCAGAAAAACTTTTCCCTCTACATATATTATTCATTATATGGATGATATATTATTGGCTCATAAAAATAAAGATACAACAAAAAAAATTCTCAAAGAGACAATTAGTAGTTTAACAGCTTATGGCCTTGTCGTGGCTCCAGAAAAAATTCAAAAAAATAGGCCACTTAGTTATCTGGGACAATGGATAGGGGACAATTACATAACAACTCTAAAGGCATCTATCAGAGTAGATAAATTAAAGACCCTCAATGATTTTCAAAAATTGTTGGAAAATATAAATTGGGTAAGAAAATATTTAGATGTCACAACAGGTCAATTAAGCCCCCTGTATCAAATATTACATGGAGAAGCTCACCCAAGGTCAATAAGACACTTAACTCCTAAAGCCTTGCAGGCTTTAAAACATATAGAGCAGGCTTTAGAAAGAGCTAAAGTACATCAAGTAGACTATTTGATTCCATGGTATTTAATTGTTTTTGCCACAGATTATACTCCAACAGCTTGCCTATGGCAGGAAGGTGTATTGGAATGGCTACACCTACCACACACACATAAGAAGGTACTTATATCTTATCCCTCTCTTTGTGCACAACTTATATATAAGGGCAGAATTAGGTCTAGAAAATTGTTTGACAAGGAACCGGCCTTTGTAATTATACCCTATAATAAAGAACAATTAGAGCTCTTATTACAAAAATCAGAAGATTGGTGTCTCTCCTTAATGGGATACCTAGGACAAATCACCTTTCATTACCCCAAAGACCCTCTTATTGAATTCATAAAAGAAGTTCCTCTTATATTTCCAAAGATATGTGTTTCTCAACCCCTAGCAGAGGGTATTGTGGTTTTTACAGATGGGTCAACAAATGGGAGGTCTGCGGTATACTCGGAAGGGGAGGAACCTTTAATAGAAATTGTACTGCAGACAACAGCTCAGCAAGCGGAAATACGTACAGTTCTGCTTGCACTTAGACATTTTCCCCAGACGCTTAACTTTATACAGACTCAAAGTATGTGGTTAATTTATTTCCTGCCATAAAAACAGCGAGTTTAACAGGTTCTTCTACTATTAAGCCTCTGCTTAAGGAACTACAAGCTCTGTTATGGCAAAGAACAAAGAAACTTTTCATAGGACATATTCGGAGTCATACAGGATTACCAGGACCCCTGAGCCATGGTAATCACATGGCTGACTTATTATCTAGAATTAATCTCCTTACAGTACAGGAGGCACAAGAAAGTCATGCTCTGCATCATCAGAATGCTAATGCATTAAAACAAGCTTTTCAGATAACTAGAAAACAAGCTAGACATATAGTTAAGGAGTGCGCCCATTGCCCTCCGCAAAATCAGAGTTTAAAGATGGGAGTCAATCCTAGGGGATTGAAGCCTCTTACATTATGGCAGATGGACGTAACCCATATTCCTTCCTTTGGGAAGATGAAGTATGTTCATATAACAATGGATACATTCTCTCATTTTATCCATGCGTCTGCCAGATCAGGAAAAACAATAAAGGATATGATTCAACATCTAGTACAGTGTTTCATGATCATGGGGAAACCCATGCATATCAAAACTGATAATGGACCTGCCTACACCTCAAAATCTTTTGAGGTATTTTTAACACAATGGGGGATTAGTCACAGGACAGAAATTCCCTATAACCCACAAGGACAGGCCATCATAAAAAGAACTCATCAGACATTAAAATTACAAATAAAAAGATTACAAAATGCTAACTCATATATGTCCCCCCACCATGTTTTAAGTCATTCTCTCTTTGTATTAAACCATTTGAACATAGACTCAAATAATAGTTCTTCTGCTCTTAAGCACTGGGCAGTAAAAGAGACGGCATCATCATTGCCGCAAGTACTATGGAGAGACTTGCTTTTGGGATCCTGGAAAGGACCCGACCCTCTGATAACCTCGGGACGAGGGTATGCTTGTATCTTTCCACAGGATGCAAAATCGCCCATATGGATTCCAGACAGACTCATCAGGCCGGTGCCACAAAAAACTACAAAAAAAAAAAAAAAAGTTAGCGACGGCCCGGCTGACTCAAAAAATGAAGAAGCTGACCCTGAAGCCACAGAAGCTTCCGACATAGACCCAGCTAAAACATCTGGCGACGGAAACAAAAGCACTTGCCTCACAACAATGTTCTAACCCTCCTTTAGAAATGCTGTTTGTAGCCATGTTGTCCTTGATTGCTGTTGGGCCTACTACGGCGTCTACCAGTCCTTCTTCCTATTGGGCTTATGTTCCTCGTCCTCCTCTTTTACATGTTATGGGGTGATTGGATGATGAGACTTATAAGGTATTGAGCAATCAGACGGAGATCATCGGGGGTTTCCAAGATTCAGATAAAAGGACAAATGCTTCCTCATTTATAAACTTTGCAGGAAGCTCAGATTCATTACCAATTTGCTTTGCCCTGCAAGGAGTAGCTCCTCCCGGGTGTCTCTCCACCAGCTACAGAACCTTTTTAACTGCTGCCCCCAGCTCTACCGGTAAAAAAGGAGATCCTAGATGGATCTGGGAGACTCAACTGCTTACTCTGGCACTTCCCACTATGAAAGAAACTTTTAAGTCTGTCAATTTTATGCCTCTTGATTCCTGTATTACTAAGTATCGGGATAAGAATCAATTTTGGGATGATGGTATTACCGCCTTTCCTACTTGGCTGCGTTGTGGGTTTCCTCACGCAGCCTCCTCCTACAATCCTTTACTGTCTAAATTGCTTATTTGGGATTTTTCCGCCTCTTCTGGAGAAAAAAAATATAAAGATTATATCTCAAAAAATAAAGATAAGTTCCATAATTATACATTTATGGGTCATGGAGAAAAAATCACTAGGTGGTTTTCACCTGGGTATGTTGAGCCAATATGGGTTGCTAGAACCCCCTCCGGAAACATGAGAAAACATCCAGACTTGTTTCGGCTTGTTGCTGCCTCAGGCCCAATGTCTCAAAAAAGACCCAAAGAAACTACCCCATCTCCCATTGCGGTTAGAGCGTATATTTCCTATCCTTTTGCTCTGCTACTAGGTTCTGCCACACATGTAAATATCTCTGCTCTTGGGTCTAACTTATATCATGTAACTTGTTTTGGATGCATTATCACTAATTGTATTTCACCAAGAAAAAGACAAAAAATACAGATTATGATGATTGTAAAAAGACCACCTTTTATAATGATGCCCGTAAAATTACATAACATGACTTGGTATGATAATTCAGCTTTACAGGTACTTAGACAGCTTCATGAATTAATAAGGCCAAAAAGATTTGTTGCAGCATTGATATTAGGGATAACAGCATTAATATCTATTATTACTACTTTTGCCATTGCCACCACCGCCCTGGTTCAAGAGATTCATACAGCTCAATTTGTAAATGATTTAAATAAAAATAT